CTCTCTGAGAAATCACCCAACTCCACAGTAGCCACCTCCCTTGTTCACAAGTAGGGACCACTCTCCAAGCTCACCCCCCAGGAACCTTCTGGTCACTCCTAACCCAACAGCACTCACCACCTGCACACCCAGTGGGGCTTAGCACCAGCGAAGTGAGTGCTCGTCAGTCCTCCTAACAATGCCCCACTTTAGAGATGAGGACACGAAGGTAGAGCAAGGTTAAGTAACTTTCCCAAGCTTACATGCAAGTAGAAGAGTTCCTTACTCTATGATGATATATGTTTTCATCTGTGCGATTATGACCTCCTTGAGGTCAAGGACTGTGGCTTCCTCCTTTTTTTCTAACATGTCCTCCAGCAGCAGACATAGTATTAGCGTAGCCTACGTATTTTTTGCTCATTGGTGATAATAATAGCTATCTTCCTACACTTGTCTCCTCACCTCCTACCAGCATAGAGCCTTCTCCTCCTATCTGGGGAAATATTTTGATTATTTCAGAGGATGGAGAAACTGTAGAAATAGCCGTAAGGAGCCTTGTAGAAGTCTGACCCCTTTGTGATTACAGAGCAACATTGTTCAGTGAAATCTTTGCATTCGGACAACTCCTCCCCGAAGGCTTGATGGTCTTCTCCACACTACAGCCACGTGTTTCTAAAATGCAACCTCGATCATGTCACCCAGCACGGGAATAAGATCAGCTCCCTGATACCGCCATGAGGTCCTTCAGGAACTGCCCTGCAGCCTCTTCCTGACCTTCTTCCCATTCCTTCAGCTGCTGCACCCTCTCTCCAGCCACTGGTCTGCAGGTGGGCCAGCACCGCACACTCCTCCCACCTCTCTTCTGACCACGCTTCCACAGTCCAGCTCATGTATCACTTCCTCCAGGGAGCCCCCTGCCCTTCCCAGCCTGGGTGAAACCCTCTTTGTAAGTGCCCCATGTGGGGAGTTATTGGACCATCATGTGAGGACATTCAAATCCTGCCTCCTGGCTACAGGATCACGGCCAAGTTACTTCCACTCTCTATGCCTCAGTTTTCTCATCTGAATAAAAGGGATAAAGACAGTTCCTATCTCTTAGTCCCATCCCACCTCAAGGCCTTTACCTTCGGATGCTGCAGCCTGAACGCTCTTTCTCCCACCCACTCCAGGCTTCCCATGGCATTTAGGGAAGTCTGCTCCGACGCCAGCTTTCAGAGGGGCCCCTGTCCAGCAGCCCTGTCACAGCCCTGTAAGACCTCAGAGCTCAAGCGCTGCCTTGACATCGTTGCATCTCACAGGGCCCCAAAGGTCAAGCCATGAGTTCCTCTGGTCTCACCAGATATGCCATCCACTTAGCAGGCAAGGGCCACCACTGTCCCTCAGCCAGACCAGACCACTGCCTAATGGGTTCCACTTCCCAGAAAATTATTCAAACGAGCTAATCACACCCTCCCATGGAAACCAGGGCTCACCTGACCCTGTTGTGACTACACAGCCTGCCTCCCACAGCCCCTGCTGGCTCACTCTGCTTCCAAGTACCGGCCCCAAGTGCAGCCTCCCTGTGGCCCTGTGTGGCATGCGGTGTCCTCCCCGGGGCTACAAGCATATGTGACTAGTAAACTGCTGCCAATCTCATCTGTCCAGTGCCAGGTGTCCTGTGTTTGGCCACCTGGTACTCTTTAGGGCAGAGGGTCCGTTCTTCACCAATAGGGTGACTAGGTTATAAGCACAAGCCTCCACTCCACCCTTCACCACCCCCTGCCTCACTTCTGCCCACCATGGATCACAGCCTGGAATCCACTAATGATGGACATGCTGACTGTCCGTCTCCCTTTCTCAGATGTCCATCAGAGCAGGGCCTTGTGACAGCACAGCCCTACATCTGCTCCTGGTGCACCGTGAACGTTAGAGAGATGAATGGCGAACGCTGCGAGACCCGGCATGTAGGGAGCCTTCTACTCCCGTCGGCTGTCATTACAGGAGCCTGGTTATTGTCTGTCCAGGTAGACTGTGACCGTTATGAGGTAGAGGATGGTATCCACAGTCACACTGAATGTGAGGTCCACAGTCATAATGAGCATGGTGACTGGCACAGTAATGCTCGCTATGCACTTGCTGAAGATGAAAGAAAAGGTGACTAATTGTCAAACGCTGAGAGAAAAGGAGTTTCTGCCATGTGCCCTACCACCGGTGACAACTGAAGATACAAAGACGAAGGTGACATCCTACCAGCAAGTCACTTGTGAAGTTCACGCGACTCAGGAGCCTGACCACCTCTCAGTGCCCGGAGGGGGCTGCCGAGGCTGGGACGTGACTCATCTTCCCCCTTCCCTGCTCCGCCTGCCACTCACCATGCCTTGCTCCAACGCCTTCTTGATGCGCCCGGGGTCTGCCACCGGGAACCAGATCTCAGCGATGATGCACTGCTGGGTGACATCGATGTTGCACATGTTCAGGATGTGGTAAATGGCCTTCATCTTCTGAACCTTGACCACCCAGGAGTGCCAGTTGCAGCCGCTTCCTGCAGAAGGCTCTGACGGGAAGACTCCGTTTGTGTATAACCTGGGCAAAAAGCAACACACAAAAAACAAGGGACACTCATGAAATGTCTGGCAATGTGGCC